AAATTTGGGTTCCGTTTAGGCAGACGGACGGCTCAGAATTGCGTTTTTCCACTTCCTACCCCCTCTACAACATAAATTAATTTTTTTTGGCACTTTCGTTTTTCGCGATTATTTCGGAAACTATGAGAGATAGAGCCTATGCGTATCGAGTCAGACTCTTTGCAGTTTGGTTGATTAATTGGAGGATTCTATTGATGTCCTACAATGTACAGATCCCTTAAGGAAAAAGTACCCATTTCAATTAATGATAAAGACTCCATCATTAATTAGACAAGTATTCAGTAATGTGTACCTATAATTACTGATTAATCCAGTAATCGAAAGTTTTTATTTGCTGAATATCATTAAAGGGAATTACATTTTAACAATCATTGTTCATTGTCACAGTAAGGAATATTTTGACAGCCAACATTACTCATTAACAGAATAATCAAAATACTTCAGTTTTCACGATTGATTCACAAAAAAAATATACTTTAATTGAGTATAAAATATACTTGAATCAACTATATTTTATACTCGAATCAAAATATATTTTTATTGATTTTACGGGCAACGAGTTTTCGAGAATAAAATATCCTAGAATCACTCAATTCAAGTATATTTTTTTTCGTGTTCGATGAATATTGAGAAATATTTTCGATTTCATTATTTCATTATTTCTGTTGATCTCTGCTATTGCTGCACGCGGTGAATTGCCCATTGCAACAGCGCGGTTGCAGCCTCCGATACCTTATCCCACAATCTGTCCTGTTTTACCGTGAGATTGACTGCATGACAAAGTTCTGAATACGACCTTGGCGGCAGCACTCTCTCGTGCCCTCTAGAGCGCGGGGTTTAATCACACCACCATTCAATGATCCCTTCTCAATTCAGAAGTTTGAATTTCCCCGAGAAATGCGAGAGCGCGTGGTCTGTGAAATAGATAGTGGGGGAACGAGCCACGTGGGTTCCACCGACCGATCCCGATGATATCGACCGGTTGAATTAAAAGTATAACGCCTTTCCCAAACGGTTGAAGGATTTTTAACTCCAAATGCAATCGTTCAACTGTCCCCGGCTCCAGCGCTCATTTTATTACACGTTTGTTGGTCAAATTTGAAAGTGCTAGAGTAATCTAATCGGAAGGTAGTATAATTCTTGTCTTGCGGAATGACTCAATGTCTCAATTTTTACATCCCAATGCCAACCAACTGTTGAATGCAGTTTGCACTGAGTCAGTGTTTGATGGTGCTGTCACAGTGTTAGCAAGCGCAGAACATCTGGCGGGAAATTAATTAGAATCTAAGGTATATTCGTTTCGTTATTATAACACTTGATCGATTGTCATCGGTGTTCGGTGACACTGGTGCGCGGTGAAGATATGCGAACGGCGTGGGGCTGCTTCTGTCTATTGATCAGTGTTACAATAATCTGCATCATTTTTTACCTGAGAAATTCAATGAAGAGCGAATCCGTGCGCGACTGGAGAATTCGAAACTGGAATGTGTTCGAGCGAGTTGATGAATCCAAGGAGGAAACACTCGAGGAATTCGAGGTGAATGCATTTCCAAAGTATTTTTTGCTGTCAACAATTATGGACATTACTTGGTTTTTTTTTTACTTTTTCAATGCAAACACTTGAGTGGCGCAGGCAATTTTTACGCGGAGAGAAATTCTTTTGAAAAATTCTAGTGCTGTGAAGGTAAAATTTCTGGGGATTTACTTTCTAAAAAAATTGGGCAATATGTGTTGCGTTGAATTTTGATGAAGGCCGCCTGACAAACAGAGAATTTGAATATAATTTTCCGAAATATGAATAAACGAATCGTAGTTGTCGAAATCATTTAGGTCAGAGGAAAATAGAATAATTCTACTTTCTTAATGTTGCGTTTAATAAGGTTTTCTTCGAACTAAGTTGACTAGATTAATAGTTAGAATGATAGGATTATCTCACATTTTTACCGTTGAGGATAGCAGAATCTGAATGACATACAGTGAAAAAGATGATCGATTTTTTCGCTTTGAATAAATAAGATTAATATCCAAATACAAGATTTCTGATATGAATAAGATGCGAATCAATATTCCAAATTAAGTTTTAATTTTTAATTTGGTGCTGAAAACACGAGATGACAATGTTGCACAGATGAACATCAGATTAATTGAATTACTGAGTGAATTAACTAAAAATTGATAATCGTGTGGAATTGGAAGAAAATTGTTCAATTTTTTTTTGATATGTGAAATATATTATCTTTCAATTTCCATCATTCTTGGTGGCCTAGCTTAGCTATCACATACATGTATAAAATTTTTTTTTTCTACATTTCTAGTATATTATATATTTCATATATAATATATGCATGTATATTTTATCCAAAAAACAGAAATAATTATTTTTGTAAAAAACACTACGCCAACGAATTTTTTTTGTTGCTCTTGGAAATGAGGAAGACATTTTTCTAGAAAAATACAACTTCTATAAAACATTTGGAAAAATACAGCAACCTATGAAAATTAGCGAATAGGACTCAATAAAATATCAGTAAAGATAGAACCAATGCTATTGCCGTTGACGAGGACATGGAAGATTCGATTGATATTAGGCAGTGATTGTAAGAACTCCGCGCCAAGAACGTTGGTTCTATGTCACTTATTTTTTATGGAGCTCTGACTTGGGTTATTTTTATAGTTTTCTGTGTTTTTTCCAAGTTTTTTTATGGGTATTATATCTTTCCAGAAAATTGCCTTTCTCATTTCCAGGAGCAGCCAGAAAAAAATTTTCCTTCGCACAGCGTTTTTTAACAAAAATAATTATTTTTGTTCTGTTAGAGGATTTCGTTGGTTTGTACAAAGTGAGAAAATAATTTATTTTGTATTCGTCCAATTTAGTTGGTTGAAATCAAATTTAATGTATTTTTTTCACAAAAAGCAAACTATTTCTATCATGTTATTTTTCATATTTATGCATTGAATAAATTTTAGTCACATAGATTCCGATGATCCATTTATGCATTGCCCCGTATGCCAACATATCACCTCATTTTTCATGTTTATTTTCCGTTTACATATGTTCTTCATATGATAAGCTATCCTATGCCCCAAAAAACGGTGACAAAAAACGTTCCATACTTTTTTTAATGGAGAAATATTAAAATTGAACAGCTGCTAGGTTGGGACATATAATTCTCATCAATCGTATTGCTTTTTGCAATGAGAAAGATTATAAACAATTGAATGAAAAAAAGAATATCGAATGTAACAAGAAAAAGGCATAAACGGGAACAATTCACGTTTACGCAATAGATTATGAATTCCCTGATCGTCACATTGCGCCCTTTTTCCGTGCTAGCCCTAAAATTTTTCTAAAGAATTTCTCTCCCTACATTCGTCAGTTTTTTCACGACAAAAAATTGAAAGGAAGAATTAAAAAAAAATTAATTTCATGATTTCTCAACAGTTAAATTGTAGAAACTAGAGTTTTTCTCTGTTAATTTACTCAAGGAATTGCAGAATACTCATTTACTTGCGCTCAATAGCGTGTGGCCCACGTGACACTTTGTACGATAACAATAAATGGAGATATGAAGCTCACTACACAAGAGATACTTATCAACTGTCATCGGATAAAATTTTTTGCGAAATTTATCTGCGAATTGCGCGGCAACTATCGCAATTTTCCATTCTAGAATCAGAGGGTACCGCTGCGAGGGCAGCTGACAGCGAACGGTTCCCTACGCCTGAAAACGATCCTCTATTGGAATACAATGTACGCTGAAAAGCACAGACACTTTATGTTTGGTACTGGAGATGTCTTCCGAGGATGTCCAGTGCCCCATTGTTACGGCACTCCTGACAGAAAGTGGCTGAATAATCTAGAGGATTATGATGCTATTCTCTTTCACGGCATCGAGATGAACACTGGGGATTTGCCGACTGGTCGGTCTGATCATCAGAGGTACATTTTCTTCTCGTGGGAGTCTCCAGCTTCGAGGTAATTCGATGTTCCGGGAAGGGAGTGGTGAAATGCTGCAGCACCCTCGGAGGGTGTCATTGGCATTAGATAACGAACAATAGATTATTTCGTCATTAGACCGAAAAAAACTTTTCTGATGAATATGAGGTTACGGAAGAGCCGAAGGCGAGTTCTGTAATCATATGAGGTAGAAAAGTTCCCACGGCCGTGTGTCGAACAATATTTTTCGTCATAACGGCTGTAGCCAATGATTGGGAGGACTTTTCAGAAGAAATTTTTTTATTGAGTACTTTCATTAGCCACGAAAAACGTCTCCGGACATTTCCCGAGGTCCGATTGAGTCCCCCCCAATACTGAGATAATTTTTCAATAGAAAAAACCTCAAGCAACATTTTTTTTAATTCACCTCAGGCCTATCACTAGTATGTACTTCGTCCTAACACCCAACTACTACAACTGGACGATGTCCTATCGCCTAGACTCTGACATAATACGTCCTTATGGCAGGATTAGAGATCTCTCAACTAATGAAATAATATCCCCACCCCGAGATCCAGCTGGCATCGTCCCCTGGAGAACTCCTAAATCCTACGATGTCAGCAATGAGGAGTTTGAGATCATAAAATCGAAGAGCCGGATGGCTGCTTGGTTCGTCTCTCACTGTAATACCCATTCAAGACGTGAAACTCTAGTTGAAGAGCTCAAAAAATACTTCAAGGTGATTTATTTGATTGATTACATTCATGAAACGGAATTACCAAGTTAAATTGAGACCTAAAATCGGCCAAGTCAAAGCCGCTTCAAAATCTGTCAGAGAAATTCTCGTGATGACCTTTATGCAGCTCTAATCTCTCCCTGAAGATAAGGTCATTATCGGAATTTGAATTCCCTTCAAAGTAAAAAATGGGAAGATAGTTGATTGATTGCAGACGTCTGTTGTGAGATTGAATTATATGGAGAGAAATATTCAGTAAAAATTACGGAACAATTCACGTAATCCGCAATGGGCAATCGTTTTCCGGCAATTTTTATGGGAAGGGTAGAGCAGAAATCTGAAGCGTTCAGTGAATTCTCAGCTTCTTCACAGAACAAAGTACGAAATTGTCACGTAATTTTTCCCGAAGAAGTAAAATCTTACAGAAACTTACCGACTTATTATGCCTCCAAAATCAAAAATTCTTGAACGTTCAACAATTTTTATGAAGCTGGTGAGTTATTTCTACGTTCCATTCCGTAAAATTTCTCAATCGTTGGGGAAAAATTACGGAACGACTTGTCCCCACAGCGGTGAGTCATCAGACGGGTGGTTAATTTTTACGGGACAAATCGTAGAATTTAAAAAGTGATTCGTACAATTTCAGTTCCGACGGATTACGTTTCGAAACGTAATTTGTACGTTTTTTTTTTGGTAATTTTGACGTAGATATGTCTACACGGAGAAAAATGTTCAGTAAAAATTACGGAACTCACAATTCGCTCACCGATTACGGAACCGACTCAGAAAATTTAAGTGACGGTATCGTAATTTTTCACAGGAGATTCAGATACAAATTACGAAACGCTCTGGAAAAATTCCGTGACAGTTGCGTACAATTTCCTACAACCCTATTTCGCTCCGGAATTACGGAAAAGATACGTAATTTTTATTGAATATTTCTCTCCGTGTATGGTTTCAATACGGGGGGTCATTTTGGGAAACGGTCCTTATGTGCAGCACCATCTATCGGAATTCTAGAAATTTCTAGACATTTCAAGGTAATTCGAGAAGTTTCTTGAAATTTGGAAAAAATTCAAGGAGTTTCTAGAAATTTCGAGGAAATTCAGGGAGGTTGTATAAAATTCGAAGGAATTCAAAGAGTTTCCAGGAAATTCGAGGGAATGCAAGGAGTTTCCAGGAAATTCGAAAAAGAAGGAAAGACCATGGACGTATCCCCGTACAATTACAGCTGTATCGAAGATACAGCCGCTTGCAATTTTTATTGAGTTTTTCTCTCCCTGTAACGCCATTTATTCGGCCAGTTGACTACCGTCTCATTTAACGTCTATCTTTTCACCACTTCACTGCCTTCAATTATCCCAATTACATTTCATTCTAGGTCGACATTTATGGTCAATGCGGTAAACTTCGATGTAATAAAGAGAACAATGAGATGTGTAACGACCTCATCGAACGCGACTACTTTTTCTACTTCTCCTTCGAGAACACCCTCTGCAAGGACTACGTAACCGAGAAGCTGTTTTCCCCAATGTCCAAATACACAATTCCCGTGGTATACGGTGGTGCAGATTATTCAAAATTCGCCCCTCCCCACTCCTACATAAACATAATGGACTTCAATTCCACCTCTGAACTGGCAGATTACCTGCTGAGATTATCACGAAATCCAGTGGAGTACGCTTCCTACTTCTGGTGGAAGAGTTACTACCAAGTTGAAGACACAACAAAGTCAACACTCTGTGATTTGTGCGAGAAACTCCACAACAATGACTTACCAAAGAAGACTGTCGGTGATTTCACGAAGTATTACATCACAGATCAGTGCTACCCTTCGGGAAATCTATCGTGGATCAAGTCGATGCACCATTGGAGATAAACTAATTTCAGCTGTAGTTCATTAATTTATTGATCCGTTTATGTAAATAAAATATTCTTTTTCTGAATATCATTCTTCTTATGACTATTTAACAGTACGGATAACTATACAAGTATAAATATATCTACATAAGGAGTGGATTGAGAAGTCTCAGTGGTGAATAGACTTTGGTAAGTTGGCTGGCGATTCGAGGGAATAAATAAGGGGGGAGGGGTTTCAGCTCATGACTTTGTCTATCCATGGTACGAATTTCTGAATGTTCGTGTAGACACCTGGTAGGTGTTCGCGTCCACAACCAATGCCCCAGGACACTAGGCCGATTAGAACGTGTCTGCCTTCTACTGCCATTGTTAGAGGTCCACCTGAGTCTCCCTGGAATATGCGTGAAATTGTAATCAAGTTATGTTACAATGAAAAAAAATGAGGAAACAATCGTGGAATGGGTTTTCACGTACTTGACAGGAGTCTCTCCCTCCTTCTTTATACCCTGCACAGAGGAAGACATCGTGAATCGTCTCCCTTCTTCCTGCTGCCCTGAACCACCTCTGACATCTCTCGTTAGGTATCACCTTGAAATATAGTTATTACGACATAATTATATTGGAAGTGTGTCTTCCTGTGGAATAGGAGAGCCCTTAATTTAAGAAACGAATCAATTCCTAGTGTCATAATTCATTTTCATCTCGATAAATTTACTTGTAGATGAGAGCGTGAAGGCCCAATATAATTCGAGACATAAATATGGTCGTCAACTCTAAATAATGACGAGAAAATAACAGAAATAAAAGTACTGGAAATTATTAGTACACTGAGAAAATAATCGACATATCACACAAATCATTTTTTGAGCGGAAAACATCGCATTCATATTTAATCACTTTATGGTAGGTTTCAGACGAGAAATCGGTGCTCTTCGGGTTAAGGAGCAAGTTACTGAATGATAAGATGATGTCTCTTTTCGCAGTGAGATAATATTCCTTAAAAGATAGGGGAAGTTTGAGAGAAGGAAAAGGAGATATTGCTTTCCTTCGAACTCAAAACGATTGAGCGTAAGCGACGGTTATATTTTTTTAATACCTGGAGGTTTTCCTCTGCATAAACTCTCTATTCAGTCAATATGAAATGATTTTCCTTTTCTCATCTTCTGACCCGAAAAAGCCGATTTTTTGTGGCATGAAATTCTCACTTTATCATGAAATATTCATGTTCAAGTTATGAACAGTCACATGGCACTAGTAGATAAAAAATATCACCTCGACATCAACTTCTTGCAGAACAGTTGGTGCCGAGCTCTGTCCATGCCTGGTCCTCCCCCATCCGGCGACAGTAGCCGTCCTCCCCTGAATCTTGAGATTTCTCGCAGGCAGACAAACCGGTACAATGTGCTGCTTGAAAGCAACCGCCCTGGATAGCTTAACCAGAGCAACGTCATTCCGGAAGTCCGTGGGTGAGTACTGCGGATGCACCTTGTTTTTCCCCAAAAACCCATTACCCCATTATTCACCATTACGACACGCATTATCCCAACCATGTGCACGAAACATCTGACCAGAACACAAGTGAACTCATTACCCCACTAACACCAGTATTTATTACCTCTTTGCGTTCTATATTGTATTCTTCGTGAAGATACTTCTCGGCGGCGTCGCGCACGTCCCACTCGCCTAATCTGACTTTAAGGTTATTATTCGGGGTCCTGGAAACACGGGAATAATTGGTCTGAGAAATGTCAGCAGAGATTAGTAGAGATGAGTATTGAAGTGGGGAGAGAATTACTAACGTTGCGACACAATGTGCGGCGGTCACGACCCATCGATTATTGAGCAAGGCCCCTCCACAGGACAATTTCTTTGACAAAAATCCACTCTTGATAATCGCCGCCTGAAAGTGAAACCAGTAACAATGCACTGTTGAAAATTTTTGGCTGAAATTTCTGGTACACGTTTGAAAAGAAATTAATAAAAAAACCTGGCGAATTCGCTAGACAATTATTCTAATTCTATTGGATTCCTATTGAACTCTCTATTAGTTTTTGGCCAGTTCTATTGAAACGTTCAGTAGAAAATATTCTGTAGAAGAAATCAATGGAATTCGATTTTTCTGTACGTCTTATTCTATTGAGGTATTTTCTGTAGAATTTCCTCGGCCCAAATTTACTCATTTCTTTTGATTTGATTATCTTAATAAGAAAATAAAAATAGAACAAAAAAACCTGAAAAATTCAAGCCCAGAAAATTCTATAGAAAATATTCAATAGAATATAATGGAGTCGTATAGAAAAATCAGATTTTATTGTCTTTTTCTAGAGAATATTTTCTATTGAACATTCCAATCGGCTAAAAGTTAATAGAAAATTCAATTGAAATCCAAACGAATTCGCTAGGTTTTTCTGTTAAATTATTTCGTACATGACTTCTTGGAAATTTCTGTCACATTATAGTTACACGGAAATTTCAAGGAGAAATTTCAATCTCATCATTGAAAGTTAAACATTTTATGGAAAGATAGGGAACTAACAATTTCAGTTTACTCATTCCATGAAAATCAATAGAAGTCACGAAAATTCTGATATATTTTCAAATTTTTAATTGATTGGAAATTAGGTGTAATCTAGTCTAAAATATTCATATTTTCATTGACTTCCTGCTGCTAAAGAATTCGAAATTTCATTGATTTTTCAGTAAAATCTTAAATTTTAATGTGATTTCGTCCCACCAAATCAAATATAGACCGACTTTCCTGAAAATTCCAACTCAACTCTCCATAAAATTTAAATTTCCTCTTAAGGGATTTCATCCGCGGAAGCCCTTAAAATAAATAAGTAATCAAGACCTCCAAAACCGAAACGAAAAACAGAGCAAAACATTAGACCACAAAGTGTCTATTTCAATCAGTGATGTATCAAACAATTAGTTCTGTTACAACACTCCCTATCCCCGGACGCCGCTAACAGCCCGCGAGAATATTAAACCAAGCCATAACAATAATGAATCGTCGAAAATGCTGGAGAATAATAGTCAAGCGAAAGGATAAAAAAGTTGGATATTCTCGAGCGTGTCAGGGACTCTCACCTGCCACGGATGACTGCCGAAGCTCGAGCTGTGTCCCCCTACGATCCTATTGCTCCTGGTGTACAGTTCCCCACAGCCTGAAAGCAAAAATCACCTGTTAATGATGAAATCACAACTTGCAAATCGCCAGGAGGTAGAGCCGCATTTTGACACCAGTAAAGTAGAGAATAAGTGAGGAACCCTAGCCTGTGCTGTGCACTGTCTCCAGTTCTCCAGTCGTGTACCGGTCATTCAAGCGCGTCAGGATCGCATCACGAAGATTGCAATGGAAAGAGTGAAAGAAAATCAAAAGAAGAAGTGCTCGTGCTGGGACCCTTCAAGACAATTTATTTTTTCAACTGTTGCACTCGTGATTTTAGAATTACCACGGTACATGTCCTGATCCTGGGAATAGGACGGATAATCAGCGGTTGTACCATGGTGTGAGGGTCGATTAATCTCGTAGTCATCGTCTGGATAGTAGTTGTTGGGGTGACTAGCCTCTGGACGATTCAGGTATGGGTTATCGTATGACGACACCTCGTTTGGACGCTCCTGCTCCCAAGCGGAATACGTTGGCTCGTAAATTCCTGGATCCTCGTTAATGGCTGTGTCGTGGTGCTGATGGTAATTTGGGCGCTGGGGTCGCCCTTGGTTACCGTAGATCCGCACGTCGTCGTCCACGTAAGGACGATTCGACAGGCTCAAGAATGCTAAAAGTTATCTTGCTCAAGTTGAACTGTTCCTTATTTCGATTCACCCCTTCTTTAAAGTAGTTTTAAGGTATGTCCCAAGTCAATGGGACCCGAAATTCAATACGTATGGATTTCCGGAAAAAATTCTGAATAACTTGATTTATTTCATTCTCATGAGTTATTGAGTTTTTCTATTTTCATGTGTTTTTCATGCACACTGATAGAACCGTTTAGTCGAACCAAACGAGACTTTTTAACTATTACCACGATTCGTTAACTATTAACGAATCGCGGTAACAGTTAAGAGGCCTCGTTTGGAGCAAGTGAATCGTTCCACCATTTCTATCAGTGCAGGCAACAATAACTGTTTGATTTATTTCATTCTCATGAGTTATTGAGTTTTTCTATTTTCAGTGTATGCAGTACAAAATTTTATAAAAAAATTGACCGTATTCGAGATTTATTAGTCGATCACGGATTAGTTTTTTAAGAACATCGTAACAACCGTTTTCTCATAAAGTGGAAAAATCGAGTTCGGGGGGACCCGAACTTCCCGTTTGGCCTATGCTTCGCTTGTTTGAATGCCACATTTTATTATTTATTGCCTCCTAAACTGTGTAGTACAGGTAGTTACCATTTTTTTTAAGAACTGAAGACTATTATAAATAGTATCTATGAAAAACATGGGAATAATCTTACGAAAAACGTGTTTTCTAGGGATACACGGAGCGGAATTGTTTAGAAAAATTCTAGTACTAGCACGCGAAAAGAGGCGCAAAGTGACGGCTAGGAAAAAATTCCAGTGCCGGCACTAGAAATTTTATTGGGAAAAACGTGAATTTTTCCCCGTATTTCTGTGAAAATTTCACAGAAATCCCCGGAAATTTTACCAAAAATACCAAGAAATTTTACCTTAACAGCACTAGAATTTTTCACAGCCCGTGGATTGTAATTTTTTCCAGAACTCGTGCTAGAATTTTTCTAGAAAATTTCTCTCCGTGTAACTTACAAATAAATTCTTCCATCAATGGGGGGTTAAGGAATGATTGAGGAAGTGACTCCACGGGTTTTGGGACAATTATTTGGATAGAATTGGCATTTCGTCCTTCGGCTTACCAACGCAATATATTCCATTACTCTACAAATTTCCAGAATAAAGCGGTCTAGCAACTGGAAAATTGCCCACGAGAAATACCGCGGAATCATCGCTTAACTATCACTGGAGAAGTCACGAACGAATGTGAGTGTCATGTGGATGACATTGTGAAATTTCAGATGTTCGTGATTTTTAAAACGTATTTTATTATTATCGAGGGGTTGAATGCACAGAATAGATTTCGTGTTTTTTGACCTGCTGGCCGTTTTCCCATGAATGTCGAACCCTATTTTTCATCACAATGTGTGGAAAGTTGAAACTAAAAATTAAAAAATTTTGCTTTATGCGTACGTAATGAAAAAGGACTTCCTTAAACCAAAAATATCTTTCTGAAGTTGAAAACAATTCTTCTTATTTATAAATGTCTGTTTTATTTGACCTTTGAATGAATTTTCCAAGCTCCCTAACTAGAGTATTTTCAATTTCGTTGGGGGTTCAAATTCAAATATTGCGTCACGCGATTGAGAACGGCTGCGGTTCTGTAATTTATGATGAAGCGGGGAGGGGGCGCCTAATTTATGATGGTACACCACAATTAATGAAGATATTTTGAGGAAACAAGGATGTCAATTTAAGAACCTCAAGGTTTTTGTTTTAAAAACCCCAGGGCATTTTCTGTAAATTCAATCTCGACCTCAACACGGAGAGATATTCAATAAAAATTCCGTATCTTTTCCGTAATTCCGGAGTGAAATGTGATTGTGCGAAATTTTACGGAACTCCCACGGAATTTTTCCAGAGCGTTCCTTAATTTCTATCCGAATCTCCTGTGAAAAATTACGATCCCGCCACTTAAATTTTCTGAGTCAATTTCGTAATCGTAATCGAATTATGAGCTCCGTAATTTTTACTGAACATTTCTCTCCGTGAAGACCACGAAATGAAAAAAAAATGGCCCAAAAATCCACGAAAGCTACTCACTGGCATTTTGCAAAAGCGCCACCCCACTAGGCCTCGCCGGCTCCTTCTCCGGAATATCGTCATCATCGACGCAGCAGCTCCAGATGAGCCCCCCGGAGCACAAATCCACCGGTCTGCCGCCCCCCAGCACACAGCTGATGCTCAGGCCGCACTCAAACCTCGCGCCCTTATACTTGCACGTCTGAGGGATCACTGCAATCAAGCCAAACATTCCCCATTAACCTCTCCACAAATGAAGCCACCTAACGGTTACCAGAACACCCATTTGCTCCCTCTCCAGAAAAAGAAAAACATAAATTTGCTGCTTTTTCAACCGAGATTTAGCGCACGATAAAGAGACGGGCGTCGTCATTAGCATTATTGTTGCAAAGTGTAACACAGTGGACACCGGTTGGCAGTCAAGCTGCGAGACAAACAGGCCCCTCATAATCATCATTGATGTTTTGAAGACATACTTCTGCCGAGCATATCCATGATCCCGCTATGAAGATGCGTTCCATGGCCCCGGTGGTCCTCAATGCCAGTGTAATTGCGCTTCTTCTTCAGTGTTTCAACGAGCAGAAGACCCTGCTCATGGCTGGAGAGTTTCCTCCTCCTGCCGCGTCGTCCTCTCGCCTCATCAGCCGCGTACTCATCCTCAAACTCATCGAGACTCTGACCCCTCAAGTTGGCCAGAAGCCTCTGCAGTTCGTTCTTATCTCCCCCAGCATCTCCCAAATCGAATGACTGGAGATCCGCCAGCTCAGTATCCGACAGCTCTTCGTCCATCATCTTGCTCTGAATCTCCTGACTCTTCCTGTAGCTCCGAAGGGCCTGACTCCCCTGATTCAACTTCTGATTTATCTTAGTATCATGGCGGATCTCCTTCTTCTCGAGCCTTCGAGGCCTGAACGCCTCAACAGGAGACTCTGTGTCCTCTAATGTCGCAAAACTCCCGCGTCTCTCTATCGGAAAGAAACTCCCTCGCGCACTCCATCTGGAGTAGGCCGGTCTGTCCGGTCTGTTATCACTGTTTCTGTACACATCCCTCCCCTCGATATTCACTGAACTATTCAACAGAATGATGAGGAGAGAAGTCAATGGGACGCTGTAGAATCTGGGGCCTAGTCGAGGCAGCATCATTTACGCTCGGAGCACTCAATCTGTTATCCCAAATCCATCAGTCAGCCAATTTCACGATTCTGGGGTCAACGATACTTTCAAGACATCTTTTAATCACTCCTTTGTCAACTGGGTACTGATAATCCTCGAGGGATATCACATGGATGATACCGAACAACTGCCAACAACGTCTGTCACGAATAGCTATCGCTGGAGTGTCTTCGAACGCCTCTACTTGCTTTCACCGACTTTGGCTTTCCCGTCGTACCAATGGCGATGTCGCTTCTTCTTCCTCCAGTGTCCCCCACCAGTATAAAATCGTGCTAACAATCAAGATCAACAGCGTCTTCGGCCGCCTCGCCCTCGTCCTTTCTCCTATTTTCTTCTTTTCATCTCCAAAACCATCAGCTAATCCCTGTGATTAATCATTTGTTTTCAGTTATTTCTTTTTGTTATTTCTTCTGCATTTGATTGAATTTCATTTGGACTCTTGACATAATTTCACTGCAATCTTTCCTTGGGAATATAAATTGCGGGGTTGAGGCAGGCCTCGCGTGTCGCCTGTGTGCGTCACGCTTCGCCAATACTCGTCTTCCTAAAGAAACTCTTTTGTCGTTTGGACGAATGAATCTTCGCACACGCTGTCCCCTTTCTCTTTCGTGCCAAACATAGGCGAGTTTTAAAAAATTGACGCGTGAAAAATAACTCGGGAGTTTGTTATTCCGACTCTTCCGCAATGTGACAAAATAGTCCTCGGTGCTATGGAGCATGCAGAGTGGACGCTAATGGTGATGTGACCATGTGGTTTTTTCAGTTCGTGTGACTCGAATGTCGACTCGGCCGTAACGAAGACACCTGGTTCTTGGATTTTTTTTTCTCTTTTTACCCGCGGGGAATTGGCTTGCGACACCTTTCGAGAAAACTTCTTCACAAACTGGTTCACGTGATATTGATATTAGAAGTAAGTATATGGATTAGAGGGGGATTTACTTACGTCCCAGCTCGTCGAAGAAACGCGATTGCTCGGTGGGGATTTCATTACTTGTGACATCCTTCTCGGGTGCGTCTGAATTGAAAATAAAAGGTTCATAGTTTTAGAGAGATTGTTTGGATATTATTGCGAGGTGTGAAGAGGGGGAGATTAGTTTCTCATGTCAGGATTTCGGTTGCGAAGCGGTAAAACGGTTCAAGGGGAGAGACATGAGTTTTAAACGTCGCGCTATTGGTACGAGATTAATTGTACATTGAAGATCAATTATATTTAATTATTGGTTCCATCACCATGTTTCCATCGCACTATGACAACTTAATCAACGTCCTAATTATTGCTCCAATATCCCCTGACCTTTCTTAAATTGATCAGTTATATATATGTCTAAAAATGAATAATTAGTGCAAAAAAATTAATTGTTTATTGTTCATTTGCCCCGCAAATGCTTACAATGTTAAAAATTATCCAGGGCCTCTCCAATTTTTAAGCTATAGAGATTTCTCTCTTTCAAAATTTTTGAAAATGTGTATACAATAACAATTGCGAGTTAGTTTCTTGAAATACGACTCCTACACAGCTAATTTCTTTTTTTTTAACATGAAAGTTTCTGAAAGATTTGAGAATGCATTTTTAATATTTTGAGGATCATTTTTCTGGCTATTTTACATGAATTGTGTAATTTATTATATTAAGAAAAACGAAATTGGCTGTGTAGAAGTGAAATTTCAAAAAACTAACTCGTAATTAACTCGTTAAAAACCTTTGTACCTCAGAAATTGGAGACCCTGGACTATTTTTAACAGTTCAACCGTCTGCGCGGCAAACGAACAATAAAAAATTGATGTTTTTGCACTAATTATTCGTTTTTCCACATACATAATCGATCTTCAATGCATGATAAATCCCACTCCAACAGCCGGCGAATTTAAAACCTCATAGTAGTCTCTCCTCAACAGTTCAATAAATCTTCAACATTCAAAAAAATCCAGTGTCCATTTGGCCTCGGTTACCCCTATATTACTGAAAGAACATTTCAAAAAATTGAAACCATCTATCTTTTGCTTCGTGTCTATCTGCTGGTCTGCCTACCCTACCTACAGAAAAGAAAAAACCCCAATGCCCTCCCAAAATCTCCCCCCCCCCCCNATCTGCTGGTCTGCCTACCCTACCTACAGAAAAGAAAAAACCCCAATGCCCTCCCAAAATCCCCCCCCCTCTCCAACTCACCAATAATCGACAGATATTTATCATTCCTCCTCCCCACAGCACTCGCCCTCAAGTCCAGAATCCCAAGAATAATCCCAGCCGTGAGACCCAGAAGGACAGTCCTCATCTCTCCGCGGAAGCCCCGAGCTCCCAGAACGTTAATCCGCCAAAAATCTAACTCCACTCATTCTCCCATCGTCATTAAAAAATCCCCTCAGAGATCACGATCCTGATTTCCGCTCCAACGGTCTCCGTCATCCTCTCATCCAGCCCAAGAGCGCTACAATAGTCCCTCACGTACACGTGAAAAATCCTCCAACTTGTTCAATCTTGATCCTCAGCGTGTACGCACACAGAATAGTGCAAATAAGTGGGACACGAAAGCAGGCCACTGAAACAAGTGGAACGGCTCTTAGTGCTTGTAGGAATGGGGGAGTCAGTGGTGACGTTCACCGTGCGCTCCACATGCAGAACCCCACTTCACCTCCATGTGTTCAAACACAATGACGCTAGACCGCCGAACGAGTCATTAGTGAAAGTTTTTTTTCGTCCCTCACCAAACTTTCGACTGTTGATTATAACCGAGTGAAAAACTATCGCGATGATTTTTCAAAACAATTTTCCCCGGAAAAAAAAACAATATCAATCCCACAATATGATCCCATTCACCGAGAGAAGTACCGAGAGAAATGCCGAAGAAATGGTTTTCATCTGTTGTTTTTACATTTTATCTCTCAGTTATGACAATGACCGGATGACGAGAATGAGCCTCAACTCTCGTTCGATCGGTGCGATAAAAAATATCGGATACGAGAGGGAAAGAAAGAAAGTAAGTATGCCGGTTGAGGCCTTAACATTGCCGGGGTCCAAGGGCACTTTCGCCTCGGCCACCTCTACTCCACGTACAGCCACTCGTCCTTCCTCCTCCCATTATTTCAACTCCGTGCATCTCTCGACGAAACAAACCAACTGGTTATCTCTTTTTTTTTACGTCTCGTTTGTTTGAATCACAAGAACTCGAGGAAAGCTATGAAATTCAAAACTTTTACTTCGTTACAATGAGATATATTCTGGTGAAAACGACAGCTCACTTTGTCAACAACAAACCATGAAATTGACGGTGTTAAATTGGGTTTTTAGTTGAAATTAAAATTATTTCACAGGGTTTTTACTTTTACTTTCAAGTTTTTGGATCTGTTAACTTTCCCGCTCTTTTTTTTAACCCGACTATTTTAACGTTCACATCCGGTTTGTTCAGAGAAAAGAAAATCACCGGAGCTCATTAATTCAATAATTTCACTTCACGCACACGATAATAAATTCACATCGGGGGAGTATAAAACTCACTTAATTTGTAACTTACCTCGATTACTCGTCGCGTAATGTATTGAATCACAATGTATTAGTTGATTGAGTAATTAGAATTAATGAATCGGTAATGCGAAATGTTATTAATTGATTAGTTGACTGATTAATGAGCAGTCCGGAGGGTTTTTAATTTCAAGAGCGTGCCAAGTCCGAGTGATTAGGACAGCACGAAACACCGGTGACTACTGATGAGGAACAGAAATATCGTCATTCCAACAACGCTACACTCCGAACACGTTTAACAGCCTCCTCCTTACCTCACTCTCTCGCCCGTTGATATTGGGACCCCTTCAGCGTATCCAATGCCATCCGTGAGTGAAATCTTGGCTCTCTTATTCCTCTCTTCACCTCCTCCACTTTCATTTTTTTTTCCTTCCATTTTTCCCTTTCTCAATCTCACCAGTCATCTTCTCATTCGGTGATCGTGGTGATTGAGTGAAGAGCGTAATTAATTCGGAAAACATTTGGAACTTTCAATCATGACTGGAGATTTATTATGGGGTTTCTCTAATTTGTTTCGTTCTCGGTGGTTGGGGATTTTTAATGGGATGAGGGGTCTTGGAGAATGCCTTGGAATTTGAGGGAGATTAAAATAGTATGAACATAACTTTAATTTTGAAGATTAAAATCTGAAAGAAATTCTACAGAGAATATCTAGTGCTATTGATAATAATTAATCTGGTGATACAAAAATAAGTAGTTTTATGAGGAAAGGAACGTTGTGAGATTGGGAAAAAGATTAAACTCCGAAGAACGGTTTTTGTGATTTCTCAATCAACATTAGAAATCATGATTTCCTTTGATTTTTTGTGATTTCCATGATTTCCAGTAGATTCCAATGATTTCTTGATTTTAAGAAATCACTGGAGAAATCATGATTTCTTTTGATTTTTTGTAATTTCCATGATTTCTAATAGATTCCAATAATTTCTTGATTTCAAGAAATCATTGATTTCGGGCCCAGAGTGGGGTATCTGTCGATAATGACAATTTTCTACATGACATTACAATACGTAAGGATGTCCAAAACTTCATAGCGTCGCATTTCGAGATTGGGTGATTTCGAACGCTACTATAACAAAAATTGTAGAGTTGAAACTGCACAATCAATTGCGATAATTACACTTATTGATGATTTCTAATGATTTCGGAAATCACTTGATTTTTTTATGATTTCTATTGCTTTCCGATGACGTCCTGAAATCTTTAGAAATCACTACCGAAAATGGAAATCACTTGATTTTTAGTGATTTCCATTGATTTCTTCCTTGATTTCCAGTCAAGTGGCCCAGTGATTCCCTAAGTGACTAGCCCCTCGATCTAAAACTTGAATTTGAACGATAACAATGCGATTCAGAAGCAAAAAGCGTAGATTCCTTCGTCCAATTGTTGTCGTGGTTAAACGGCATTTCAAATATTTCACCGTACGGTGCTGCCTCCGCCCACATATTCTACGAATCCACTTCCTTCCATTCATCCCCGCGAGATGGCGAACTTCGTTCTGACACATCCGTGTTTTTGATTATGCCACCGTATGATTGACAGTATTTCCATTCAGTATATATTCGCAACAATCGAATCACCTGTTCAATGAATTGATCAATAACACGAATACCGCAGAATGCCTCGTGTAATGCACTACCATCGTTAAGTGATAACATTTACAAGCGCCCTACAGTCGATCGGGAAACGACTACCTGTCAATTTAATCATCAGTGGTTTGTCACTCCGATCGTTTCGAAAATGGGAGAATCGGAGAAACCCTTCGCCTGTCCCTCTCCAGGGTGTAACATGGTGAGTAAATGTTCATTTACGTTTGTGTTAAATATTTTATCAACTTCAACTTCATGGACATAACCTCATTCAATCCAATTACTGGACTTAATTAAATTTTATGGGGTTCAGAGCTTTACGAATGAGGATCATCTGGTGGTTCACAAGAAAAAACACGATATGATATTGAACTTGGGGAGCAATAAAACAGGTGTTTTTGTCGGTAAGTATCCATTCATTAGTAATTGAATGTATTGTTAATTATTAAAAATTAAAATGTGATTGATCTTTTGAAATTGCGAAATTTCCCGGGATAAATTTGTTTTTATCTTCTGTCTCTTATAATTCCGAAAATAAATAGTGAAGTGGGATTGCGAAGTACACTAGCTTCATTCATATTGAAGTGCTTCATAAATGTTTTCGGAATCCAGAGGAGATAAAGGAATTATCGCTAAGAGCATCTTTCTAGAAGAAAATGAGAGCCACAAAAAATTTTCTGCCTCATTTACACTCAAAGATATTTCGAAAACAGCTGAAGTCTAGATGAAGTTGATTTGTCATTGCACCATTTCACTGTTGAATTCCTAGTAAAACATGACTTCAATAGAGAATAATGTGATTTTACAATGTCAAATATCTGATCGCTTTCTTTGTTTAAGCTGTATATTACAAAAAGTTAGCTGTTTCTCTCTATCAAGTTCAAACTACTAGAAAAGCTTGTACACTGAGAGAAATATTGTAATAACGTCACAAAACTAATTTCTCGCGCCAAATATCTCATCTCTTGAGTATCAATTTCTTGGGATAAGAATTCCGGATAATGTGTCAGGCAATGTCAGATTTCGGTGAAGTGTTCATGACTTCAACATGAACATTTTACGATAAAGTGAGAATTTCTTGCCAAGAAATCGATTTTTCGCGTCCGAAGATGGGAAAATAACAAAAAACATTAAAAGCTTCGATTTAGTGAATCATGAATCACAGAAGTTCATATTGAATGAATAGAGTTTATGCAGAGGAAAACCTCCAGATATTAAAAAAATTTAACCGTCGCTTCCGCTCAATCGCGTTGAGTTCGAAGGGAAGCAATATCTTCATTTCCTTCTGTCAAACTTCCCTTGTCTTTTAAGGAATATTATCTCATTTCGAAAAAAAAAACATCATTTCATTCAGTAACTTCCTCCTTAGCCCGAGGAGCACCGATTTCTTGTCTGAAACCTACCATAAATTTATCAAATATGTGTGCGATGTTTTTCGCTCAAGAAATGATTTTCGTGATGTCGATTTTTCTCTCGACATCTAGCCCCGGGGCGGAATAGACCGTTGATTTTTTCTTTCACTGTTTAAAACTCATGGATAAATTCATCGATTGAACCCTGTTTCGGTTTATTCGAAATTCCGTGTTAATCAGAATCCATTAACAATTCAAAAGTGCATATTTGCCCGACCATAAAATCTAAAAATGATTAGTTACTCTTGTTTGTGCCCATTTTCGATCACGCGTTATCGTTTCAGCTGATCAAACTCCCACACCAACGAGATTCATAAGGAACTGTGAGGAAATGGGTTTATTTCAAGACCTACAGAACGTTAATCCGTTCGAGGAGACATTCAGAAGAGCCGTGGAGTCCGGGAAACTTGGATCATTACCAGAAAACGAGGTTCGCACTTTTGTCATAGTAAATGATTTATTTGGCATGCAAACACGGGGAACAGTAATCTTGACATCAATCCTCTATTCATATTTATTTATTCATTTCGTTTTTTCATCGTTTATTTTTATGGTTTCTATTTAATCATAAAAGCAGGTGGGTAATTGCTTATGTCTTTATCAGTGAATAAATTAAGTATATGCTTGCGAAAGGACGTGTCGCGAAGAATTTTGAATGAAAAATGAAGAATTAATGTATACGGTCCATAAATAGGGCCCATAATATAATAATAGGGTGGGAGGTATGTAGTGTTACCCTCCCAAGGGTTAATCACTTTTCCCACGAATAACGAACCCCATTTTTCATCACAATGTGCAAAAAGTACGAAGCGTGCGTAAATTCTTACTTTACGCACAAGTGATGAAACAGTACATTAGACTACAAGGGCACAAGCTTCGTTTTCGACGAATGTGAAGTTTAGGCCTAGCCGAAGGGGAGGTAAGTACTCACATTCGTTGAAAACGAAGTTTATACCCGAGTGATCTATATTATTTTAAGCACGTTGCGCGAATCGTGCAATACATTATGATACAAGTGAAAAAAATTAGTTGTACCTCGCTTTCGGCTCGGCCTGTGACCCTCATACTCGTCAGGAAGTATATTTTTGCATATATATCTTACGATATTGTATAATACTGGTGACAAAAAGCCTCGCGACGCCCACAAAAAAGTGCCCTTATATTATAAAGTACATTATCGAACTTCTTGTCCAAAATTTAAATATAAACGATTAGAAAGCGTTCGTTCTGAAGCAAAAACTATTCATTTATTCATTTCTTAGATCGTCCAAAGTGATGATACATTACATACTCCCCACGTCTTCCCTCACATCGAGAATGACCAGTCAGGGAACAGGAAAATATCTCCCGAAACTCCTGACAATCCCTGTGAAATATCGAAAAACGTCACGAGCACGACGACAATTAAAAAAACGACTGAGACTGTTGTCATCCAGGAGGCTGATACCTCTGTTCCACCTGTCATAGCAGCGCCATCGAGCAGTCTGTGAGTTTTAATTGATTCATCAAGTTTCTTGAGTTATTTGGGTTTTAGTGTCGAAACTTTGGGCTTTGAGTTATTATCATCTCGGAAAACACTCCGGGGATTAAATTTCAAACAGATTCGGTAGTTAATTAATCCCTTAGAGTTGATTAGTTAGTCATTTTCGAGGTGTTTCAAGTCTAATGGGATATGAATAATATTTGTGTCATGAAATGCTGAAACTTAATCAGTGCAGCTTGATGGGTTTCGTTATTTTGTAGTCATCTCAAGAGGTTTTAGGTAAATTTCCAACAAAAAATGTCTATTCACTTTCCTTTGTAAAAATATTTGCATTTATCTTGACAACGAGTGGTTTTAGGCGGAAATGTCAGACAGATTTACAGACAATTTCAAACAGCTTTGGTAGTTAATTAAACCCTTAGAGTCTAGAGTCTAAGAGTCTCTGAGTCTATTGATTAGTAATTTTAGAGGTATTTCGGGTCTAATGGATCATGATAAATATTTCTATAATGAAATGCTGAAACTTAATCAATGCGATTTGAAGAGTTTGGTAATTTTCTATTCAATTCAATTGGTTTCAAGTCGAAATTTTCAATGAAAAAATGTCTCTTGCACATTTAAAAACATTGATATTGCAGTGAAATGACGAAACAATTAATTGAATTTCACACTGTTGCTAATCCTATATTTATCTTGGGAACAAGTGGTTGTAGAAGGAAATGTCAGACAGCATTACACCCCATTTCAAACAGCTTTCATAGTTAATTAACCTTCAGAATTAATTAATTAATCATTTGCGAAGAACTTGAGGTCTAATCGGGTATCAATAATATTTCTGCCATGAAAAGCTGAAACTTAATCAGTGCAAATTGATGAGTCTGGTAATTTTGTATTCATCTCAAGTGGTTTTAGGTCGCAATTTCCAAAAAAAATGTCCATCAATGTTTCTTCGTAAAAACATTTGTTACGGAGATAATTAATTGTACATTAAGAAACATCGATATTGTCGTGAAATGACGAAACGATTAATTAATTCGACAGTTTCTCTATTTATATTGAAAAGCAGACATTTTAGGAGAAGATATCAGGAAAACTTTTTTGTATCTTGTAAAATCCTTTATAGAAAATATTCTTTGACATTTATTTTATAAAATCACTCATCACTCAAGACATCAGTGTTGTAATGCAATAATGACCTTTAGCTGAGCAAATTGAGAATAAAAAATCTCTCTGAACATATTCGCAGTCGCCATTGAGATAATCTTACATCTAATGAGATGTAAAACAGAATTAACAGGATTCACTCTCTCAATTAGTTGAGAAATTTGATACATCTATTTGACTTTACTCCTGCCATTAAAGGGATATCAAGTAAATGAGGAATCGTGAAACTGCAACGTCGAGTGAATTTATAATTCCCCAGGTCAATTCAGAACTCATATTTGATCCATTTAATTTCCAGAAGAGAAACGAATTCATTATTTCTTTTCTATTCATTTTCCTCGAGTTTTTCTTATTCTGATTTCGTCTGATCCCTCAAGTTTGCGATAAATTTCGCGAGTTCTCTGTTCGATTGGCTCTTGAAACATTGAAGAAACCACTGAGAGAATAATTCAACAACTACTTTGCTTTCGCTCGAGTAATTCACTCACTGAATCACTGAATCTCGTTTATGCAGATCAATAAACGGAGAGGAAGTTCAACTTATACTGAAAATGGACGATGGTAAATTGATGCCACTGTCAGCAATTCCAGTTTCTGGTTCAAACAGTGTCCCTGATATTACGAGTCAGCCTGTGAAACCGCAGGCAATCGTTATAAAAACGAATTCTCCGGTTAAATGCCCACAAACTGGAGATGCGAAGAAGGAGAGACTGTCTCTGGCAAAAATGGTAGGTGCATGCAATCCTCATAAATCTCTGGCATCATTACATTAAAACCTAGAACGAATGTCATTATTCTGTTTGAAGGAACGATTTTCGATATTTAAACGGTCGAAAAATTAGAAATTGACAATTTTTCTTAATATCGAATTTCAATGCCGACATTTCAGAAATTGAAAGAAGTACTTTCGAAAAACGAGTCTTCCTCCGAGCCCCAAAAGCCCGAGCAGAACCAGAATTCCGTGAAATCGCTGCCCACAACTAAACCCCAGAGAGAAAAACCCCAGGATCTCCACAAAAAACAAGACATCTTGGCGCGAAATCGTGCTAGCTCCATGCGTGCCCGAGCGAAACGAAAGCAGTGGATCCAGCAGCTTCAGAAATCCTTGAACAATGCCAACGAGTTGAACGGAGCCCTCCAGTTAGAGATAAAATCCCTTCGTTCTGAAGTTATGAATCTCAAGACTCTCCTTTTAGCCCACAAAGACTGTCCGATCACGAAATCCATGGAGAAAGGTAAAATTAACTCCATCAAACCCATCAATGGACTTTTGGGAAATCACTCGTGAAATTTCGTTTCGAAATTACGTTTGTTGTTACTGACAAATCGTTTAATTTCCTGAAAATCCAATGGAATTGCAATTTTCAGATGCATGGCAGTGAGAGTTATTAGAAATAGTGAAAATTAATGAATTTGAAAACTTTAGTTGTCATCGGAATATGAATTTCCAAAGTGAATAAAAAATTCCAAGAATAGCTTGACTCCGAATTCAATTCAAATTCACAATATTGGAAATTCAGGTACAGCTGTGAGACTGTTAAGAACTTTTGACTTAATTATCTGATATACATCTTGGAAATCTTTATGCAGTGGCACTTCTGCTGAAATTTCACGGAATTTCATCTTTGAACCTTCACAATTTTGATGAAAAAGTGAACAGAAACTCTACATTTTAATCCAATTATTCCATGAAAATCAATAGAAGTCCGGATAATTCAGGTTAATATATTTCTGAATTTTCAATGATTTTAACATTTAGGGTAATTGGTAGTGAATATTCAGATTTTGTTTAAAAACTCAAGTAGATTGGGGAGTTTTCCCTGTTTTTCTGCTCAAACATTTGTAATTCCATTGAATTTTCACTGAAATTTCATAATTTTTGCTTCCGCTTAAATTTAAGTTGCTAATTTTTTGTGTTAGGCTAACTAAATGTGGTCTAAACAGTCCGAATATGCAATTTTAGATGACGTCTGTATGTATAGTCTTTTTTCTTCTTGTTTTTTTTTTTGAATTTTCTTACTAAGGATCAATCGAATCTCATGAATTTTTTCATGAATAGAGACCGTATTAATAAGCTTTATTCATTGAGACCAATTGAGATTTTAATCTATAATCAAAAATGTGCAACAAAAGAACATTATTAATAATTCCAGGCACCGACGTCTTCGTAGATCCCCAGTTGATTCCAGTAATCCCTCACCTCCTACAAACATCTCCAATCTCCTTGACCCCCTCAATTCCTCCAGCAAAGCGAAAAAACTCGAACGAACCTCCAAAGCCTGCAAAACGAAAGCCATCAAAATTCCACCAGAACCAATCGATTATCCTTCCAAAACTAGACGAGAAAAACCTACCGATCTGCGTGACGAAGCTGATACGAACCCCCTCTGAGCCACTGAAGGTCGTGGAGCTGTCCCAAATCCATGAGAAGAGGCCCACCAAGTCGATCTTCATTCTGCAGAATTCCTCCTTCCGAAAGGCTCAGTCCATCAGCTCGCGACAGATTATCCAGGTGGACCAGAGTCTCCAGTTGATGAACGTCGCCTCGAAGATCACTGGAACATAGTTCCAAAGAAGCTCATCTCCTGCAAAAAAAAACTGCACTGCTTTGACTTCCACTGCTGTTTTTTCTGGGAAAAAATTCAGTCACACGAAGGGTTGACTGTTCTGTTCTTTTCGAGAACCAATAGCCGTTGAAGTCCAGTAGTAATCCGGAAGCAATTACCTCCCAAAGTGTGCGATACAGAGTCAAATCCGTCGTTGATTAATGTCAGCTGGCTGGAGCATTACGATCATTTCTCACCAAGTATTATGTATTTCTCAGTTCAACACATTTTTGTTTATGTTAATTGCATCGGTGGGTGCATTTTCTATTGAGTATTTTATTTATGTCAGACTTTTTATTGTTTATTTACAGTTCATTATGTTACGTTATTGAAGTTATTAATAAAGAGCATTGAGTTATGTTCATGGAGTCATTTCTGTTTTTTTTTATCTCGGGAGTGAGTGGTCTTAGGAAGGAATGAATTTCTTTTTTATAAAGGAATGAATTGAAAATTTTTTTTTGTGGAACTACTCGTTATGGAGGTCATAGCCCTGACAATGAATCATTTTTTAAATTAACTGAAAAGTTAAAAAATGTTTTCTTTCGTTTTAGTCTCATGATTCGGGATTTCATTTTCACTAATCAATTGCCATTATTCATCAATATTGATGAACATCGCCTCGTGGAGCATCGAAACATAGTTCTAAAAAGTTTATCTTTCGTAATAAAAAATCGACTTCAACTGCTACTTTTGCTCTGAGCAAAGTTAATTCACACAAAGTGTTAAATATTCTGTTCTATTCTGTTTTTGGTCAAATGACCCTGAGAAACAATAGCCGTCTAAGTCCACTAGTTATCCGGAAGTAATTACCTCTCAGTGTTCGATACAAAGCCAAATCCATCGTTGATTAATGTCAGCTGGCTGGAGCATTATAATCATTTCTCACAAAGTCTTATGTATTTCTTAGTTCAACACATTTTTGTTTATGTTAATTGCATTGGTGGATGCATTTTCTATTGAGTATTTTATTTTCGTTAGACTTTTTATTGTTAATTAACAATTCATTATTTTCCCACAGTTCAATACAGTTTACTGTGAGGATAACAAAAATTATTACTCAATCATTTTTAAAAAGGTTCATAAATAGTTATTTTCGAATTTTCCAGCTCAACAAATCGATCCTTAATGATCGCGATTCGATTCATCAATCATTGTATCTTAGTAATGAATAAAGTATTTAATAATTGAATACATTTTCATCACGCAAACTTCATTTTTATTGATTACAAACATTCAATCCAGAAGTAAAGTATCAAAACAGAATAATTCAAATGAAATTGAGGATGAGATTTTCGTGAATATCTCCGAGTTCAACAGAGATATTAAAATTTTCACAAGAACTACAAAAACTGTCTGAACCTATTGGAAATGGGATAATTTAAATAACCAAACTAGTAAATAAGTGAAAAGAAACTTTATTGCTTTGACTTTATTTAATACGCTCAAAGCACACATCCGCTCTTTACCAATTCCTCGAAGGAACTAACGAAATGACAAAGGAATACAACGCCCTGGGCCTCTGGTGACGTGACTCAATAGGTCCTATTCATTCAACTCTGTTTAGACTTAAAAACTAAAGTATAAACATCGTAGCCCACACTACTCAGAATTTCCGCCCATAAAAATGTTCTTCATACCCGAGTGTAAACAGAGAGAGAAAAATGTGAGATTAATTTTTGCTTCGTATTATTTCAACCAGAAATTCAACAGAAACAAAATAAAGGCAGCATAACATTTTACTTCCCTGGGTACCCCCACTCCACGTAATTACCACTTGTAACTGTATCCCCCACTCTTAAAAGCGAAGGAAAAAGTTATGCTGACTTCAGCATATCTCGAGATCATTAAAAACAAAAGTCCATCATCAACCATAATTTTTTATTCATAAGCACTCGAGTGTTAACCACCCCAATACAGTTTATTATGAGGATGATAAAATTATTACTCACTCATTTTTAAAAAGCTTCAAAAAATTTTTTTTTCGAATTTTCCAGCTCGATGAATCGATCCTTAATGATCATAATTCGGTTCAGTAGCACAATCCGACAAAATTTCGACCTTGGCTCTCCTACAGATGAAATTACCCGCGTTAGAAAGATTAAATTCCGCTGATTCTGAATCCATTAACAGAATTCCTCTAGACCTCTGTTAAATTCAAAATTCAATAAAAAAAAAACGCGGGCACGAATTGGACTGAATAGTATATTTCGTCACGAGGCCGAAAAAATCTATTTATGGCGAATATGAGTTTGCAGCTCGAGCCGAAGGCGAGAGAGGCAATCACTAGAAAAGTTTTTTTTGGCCGTATGACGAACAGTATTTTTTGTCATGACGGCTGTAAAGATCTCTTCAAAGCTCGAGATCAGCAAACACGAGGGCCTGGCCGACTGAATTCACTCCTAAATAAATCATTCCAGTCCCTGGTACGATTAACAAGCATTAAAACACGTTGATTATCTCATTCCCGCTGTTCATTGAATTGAGTAACACCTCGTGTATCATCCCAGTGATGTAATCCCCTCAATTGTGCTCCCAGACTCACAAAAACAAAGGAAAATTAATAAACCACTAACACTGATGATCTCTCCCTCTGCGATTACCGGCCACTTCTCGTGACATTTATTTTCTCCTCGTACCGAAGTCCCCCGATGTATCTGTAACCCTCGGGCCCTTATCAGTTCTCCGTCCAGTCGAGACGACCATTTACACCGGACAAGAGAATGATAAGGGGCTTTAGGCACGTGCGAAGTCGGCGCTCAGTAAATTTCTCCTGAAAAAATCCTCAAATCGACATTTCAACCTGCAGCAATTCCCACATTTTCCTCTCCTCATCCCTGAAAAAAACGAAACACTCAAACGGAAATACCGTGTATTTGTCAGAGACGGAAACGCCGAGATAACTCCGTTGAATCGTCACGGGCATGTCTCCAAGGCATAAAAAACCCCAGAAACATTCACAAAAAAAATGTATGAAATAGAATTGACTCACTGTAGCGAGATAGAACGGATACACTGGCCATCGCAGACTATCGGGGTTTGCTTTCTCGACAAATATCGTCGACAACGGTTTTCCTATGCGATGATAAGAGCCAGCAGCGATAAGGATAAAAACGACATTGACGTGCCTCTCTGCCCCCACAATTCGAAACATTCTCTGGTTTAAACTATCGTTGTAGCAAGTTTCACACGCCTGAACTATTTTTACGCCTCTCGATTCCCTCTCCCATTCTCAACAGTTGTACAAAACTTTTAGAATACCGAATACACTCGCATTCTCTCGGTTTACTCATATGTGACTTGATCATAAATAACTCAAATAACCGACCAGATTACGACGTTCTAGACCAAAAAAATGGGAGGAATGGGGAGTCGTAATGTTACGGCCTCTTGAAAAATAATACCGCGAGGTTTTGAAGAATTTTAAAACTGAGATAGTGATTTTTTCCTTCATTGAATGACTTCTAGTGTTTTGAAGGAAGAATGTTGAAAAATTGGGTTGAATTTAAATGTTTTAGTTGCAAATAAAGATGAAAATTAGTTTTTTCTTTTCATGAAATAGAAAAAATTATGATTTTTTAATAGATAATTTTTAAAATAGTCATAGTTATTTGTAGATTTTTAGTTTAAACTATCAGTTTTTTCTAATCGGCAAAAATTTAATAGCTCAAACTTGAAGATTATTATAAACTGAATGAGGCTTTTCTCGATTTGATAATAGTTTTAGTTTTTCAAAGAAAAAATTTTTGAATGTCGGGTTCAATTGAAATATGTCGGATGCAAATAAAAATTAGAATTCGTTCTTTTTTCATGAATAGTCAAAAGAATCTGGGGTAAATGTTAAGAAAGAGGGCCCCAGCACCGATCCGATGGTTAAGTTCTTCGAAAGATCGGGGGTGGGGCCCTCTTTCTTAACATTTACCAAAAAATCTGTCGGTTTTTTACACCTAATAGAAAAGAATTTAACGCCTGCTGAAGTATTGTGAACACAGTTGGATATTAAATAATAATAAACACTAAAATCGTAATTTTGCGGTCGATTCAAAGACTGCGTTAATTTTTCAAGAAAAAAATGTTGGAAAAAATGGTTTTAAGGATATTCAAATACTTCAGTTACTTTTTCTCCAGTGAAATGTTTTTCTACTTTTCGACTTTTATTTTAGTCCAGCAGTAGAGCTTTCATTTGAGCCCCATTCGACCCTAAGTTTTCGGTCATTTTACAACGATTTTATTGTTTAAACTTGACAGGTCTGAATTTGAAGATCAATATTGAATCGTCAGAAAGCATTTTCAAAATGTTTAAAAAATTAGAACGTCTACTTTTGGAGGAAGAATGATAAACTGATTAAAAAATTGCAATTTTTGAAATTTCCAAGCATTTTCAGTAAATAATTTATAAACAATCAATTTTCCACCATAAAAATCATTTATCCGGAATCGTAAAAAATTGATTCATATTCACAATTTTACCAGAAATGGATTTGATGCCTACAAAATAAGAGTTCCGCGTGGAAAATGTAATTTTAATGGCATTGAATATTCATAATTTTCTTTCAAATTTTTCTCACGCAATTTAATTGACAAATTTGATGATTGAAAATGATTGAATCTACAGTGTGGTCTGTACCGAACTGTAAAAGATACTTGGCAATCCTTAATCGAACGTATTTTTATTACAAATTCAGATCGAAACCATTTTTTATTGAATCTAAAAAAATTCCACTTTTTTTACATGTAACAGAGAATGATTTTCCACTCAGCCTCTATTTTTATGATAAGAAAACATGAAAAAGAAATACTAACATGCAAACTCCAATTTGTATATTGATTTCGACAGTCTTCTCACACAATTCCATTAAAAAAACAACTATTCCCCTAAAATTTGATAATCCATCATGCCTTTAATTGTGAAAATCATTATCCATTAATTACCAATCCATAAAATCCTCCCAGAACGTTTTTTAATGATAAATGTCTTATTACGCTTGTAAACTTACGATAAAAGTGTTCAATCACCAACCACTCGATTTCAAGAGAAACGGGATATTTACACGTCTTATTGTCTTTGTCTCTCCGCACTGAATTTTTTTTAAATCGTCGAATTTGTCGAGTTACTAACATAAAAAAAATCGCAAGCACCCGTATCTCACCTCGCCGTCCCGCACCCCCAAAACCCCCTCACCCCGAGTAAACGTCAAGCTGACAGAGTAAACACGACCTCATTTACCCACAATCGTCACAAAAATTAGCCGGACTCCCCACCGTCCACCCAACAATAAAGAATCCCATTGTTCCCACCAGATCGTTCAGCCTCGCCTCCAAGAATAAACCCGACAAAGAAATAAAAACCCCACAACTCCT